GTACAAACAAAGTGCCCTGTCACCCTTAAGTTTATTTATGGCTTCTTGGAGTGAGGCAATGGACCAGTTTCCATTGGAAAAAGTAGTTCGTACAAAGTAGTCAAGCCTTCTTGCAACTGACGATACATGTTGATGATTCTCACTTGCATGTAGGACAGTCGGTATGGGTTGACATGTTTTTAGAATATTTGTTGATTAAAAAAGATCAATATATTGTACAGTTTGTCTAACATGTTGTGATTACTGTTGTTTATCTGCTGCATTGTGAAAGTCTTCATTGAACTTCCATGTGTCTTTAGAGACTGTACTATCAGAGGTTAACTCTGGAGCACACAATTCCCATCCTTCTTTCTCACTAAAATACTTGGTGCTTTCTAGTGATGTTTGTTTTGGTTTAGAAACGGGGAGAGAAACAAGATTACATGTAGGAAAAGCTGTCAAATCAAAAGAACCACAGGTTCCTCGTATATCGCCCATTTCAGAAGTTAAAAGGAGTTCTGTTTCAAGAGACACAGATGACTCAAAAAACTTTAAAGTGGTTGGTTTTCCTCCTGGTACTCTTGCTCTTTGTGGGGAGAAATAATTTCCAACATCATCCTGACACATGGTCTTTGGTATGATGTGCAATTCTGGATGTTGTATTTGCACATATCGAACAATCCCTAGGAAAGCCCTAATGCTTCTTTTTAGGTCTTTGTATGTGACATGAGGTATAAATTTTTTGGCAGTGGTTTTTTAAACCACTGGTTGCTAGGAAACTGTTTTCTTTGGTCTCTTTATAGCCATTGTCAAACCAAAGCATAATTGATATTAGCTGTTTGTAGCAGGTACATGTAGGGTCAACCTCAGTGAATTGTTGTTGAATACTTCAAATAATTTGTAGCATTGTTTTAAGTAGGTACGGGTTCCAACTGTTTCTTCAGGAGGTAAGGGTCCTTGTAGGATGGCTAATGCTACATCGAGAGAGTAAAGAGTAACAGGCCTTTTGACACTCATTTTTTTTCGAAGTGTTAACCTAATGTGTTTCCAAGTTAACTTTGTTAACCGGTGTTTTACAACAGGTAGCAAATGTTCTGCTGTAATTTTTTTGCCCTGTTTTTGAAGTTGGCCATCAGGGTTGACAATAAAGTTCCTCAGATTTTTTAATCATGTGAGGGTAATCTGAAAGCCACCAAATTGGTTTATTGTCGTTGTAAGCATTGTATGTCATCCCAGTTCTGTGCTCCAGCTCTGCTAAAAAAAGCATGAGAACTTGTTGAACCATCTGACACACCATAGATGACCGCAATTTTTTTTTTCATTTTCAAGATCTAGGTCACCAATGGCCTCACATACCTGCCAAACAAGAGAAGAAAGAATTCAGTGATTTATTTTGTGTAATGGAAAAGAAGCTACTGGCCATGAAAAATCCCCCTTTAATGATGAAAAGAAAAATTGTCAAATGAATTTGGCTTTTTTACGTGTAGGTTGGTTGGTTTGTTGTTCTTCTGAAAATATTGAATCAGAACTGAAGTCTGGGTCAGAAACAGTAGAAGTCAATGTTGTCTTCATCTTCACTTTCAAGATGATGTGGACCACTGTTGAGTTCATGACTAATATTTAAATCTTCAAATCCAACCAATTCCCCTGTCCATTTACACAGTACAATTATTCCTTCCTTTATGGTCATTTCATCTCAATGATTTCTCCCAACTCCCTCTCAACCCCTTCTGTTCATTTCTTGCACCACGAGTGCCAGATTTTTCCGAGTTATTGGATTTGTGGCACTAGCTGCCTGGCGATATTGTTTCACTGTTTCTCAGGTGGGAATAGGAAGAATGCTTTGCATAGCATCATATCCTTTTTTGTGGCACTTGCTAGCTATCATGCAGCTCCATTTTATCACAAGAGGGTTGTACGTTATTCCTTTGGGATGTGGCTTCTGTTTGTTTTTGGTCAGTTTTCCATGCCTTGCAAATTCCTCCTCCTGGTGTTTAAGGGATGTTAAGGTATCAGTCAATAGAGCATATAAGATAGAATTTTCAGTAAGCCACTGGTTTTGCAAGGCAATATCCATCAATTTGGCAAGGTCTGAAGATGTGGGGTTGTAATTTTTGGGGGCTTCAACATTTTTTTGTTTCTCTATTTGATATAAAATGTAATATTGCTTTGCCTTTCTCTGGTTCTGGGCAACTGCTTTGTGTAAGTTTTTCGCCCTGGCAATTAGTTCAGCATGAGATAGACTACTGAGTTTAACATGGGAATTCAATTGTGAGCTGTTTTGAATTGGAAAGTCTCTGGAGGTTTTGTTTGCAAACGCATGTGGGACCATAGAAAATCCTGACTTTCGTGACATCGTATTCTTAATGCATTACATGTAGCATGTAAGGACATTTGGTACTTCTGATATATTAAACAATTTCTCTATCAACAATTGTCCCACAAGAATCAACAAAGTATCAATGACAAATTTTGTTTTTTTTTCTTTCAGCGATATCAATTAGGGCTGGATCACTTATACCAGGACAAACAAATACATGTAAGTCATCAGTTGTATTAAGTATCACAGCAAAAGCAGATTTAACGAGGGTGTCTGGAAAACCCGAATAGCGAATAGTTGCGAATTGTCCCGAATAGCGAATAGCGAATAGTGCGAATAGTGGTGAACAGTCTCGAACAGTGGCGAATAGTGGCGAATGGTGGCAAATAGTGGCAAATAGTGGCAAATAGTGGCAAATAGTGGCAAATAGTGGCAAATAGGGTACCCAGTATCTCGCAGTCAACCTCGAAGCAACTTAGGATGGGATTTTCCCGCTAGAAAGCACAGACGCTTATCAGGACAAAAGGTGTTTCTATCTGTAATAACCGCTGCAAAAACGTAAATACGTCTTTATTAGGTTATTCTTGTGTTTTCTGTTTTCTTAATGTCGGCGATGGACAGCCTATTAGCCTGAGTCCGCAGAAGAAAAGGCAATCAATTCACTGAAATTTTGTTGCTTATTTGGATAATTAATTAACGCAGGATATTAGATCTAAAGCGGTGACTATTGACGACTATTCGTCACTATTCGTCACTTTTTGTGACTATTCGCTACTCTTCGCACTATTCGAGACTATTCGCACTATTCGGGACTATTCGCTATTTGCGACTATTCGCTATTCGCTATTGGGGTTTTCGAGACACCCGATTTAACGATGTCTGGATGAAAGATGATATGTGGAAGCTCACCATAATCCACTTTGTTCCCCAGGATTTGCACTGTAAAATGGCAGATGTCATTTGTTGCAACTGGTATTTTTGAGGGAAGGAAAAAGGTGATTTCTTTCCAGTTTGGTTTTTCTACACTGTTTGTAATATTGGACTTTGAAAGGACAACCTTGACAGTGCCACTGGTTGTTTTTGAATTTGAAAATGTGACTGTCCATGGAAAAATGTCATGAAGAACACCTTCAAACATTGCATATGCATGTGGCTGAAGAGGCCCTGGATATTCCCCATGAGCATGGCTTTCCTTAGCTGTGTTGGCCATTGGTCTGCATTCTTCTAGAAGTTTTTTAAGTAGACATTGTGTAAAAATGCCTGCATTTAATTTTGAAGTCTTGGGCAATTCATATATTTCTCCTCCTGGTATGTCAAGATTAAAAGATGATGTGGGAATGGAATGATCCATTTCTTTTGGTGGTTTGGTTGTAGTTGCACAATCCGACAAACTTGAGTGGTTAATTAAAGATTCTTGTTTCTCTTCAAACATAGTTTGTGCTTTCCTGTAGTCATGCTCTATTTTGACAGATTTCAAAAAGAAAGGGCTGCATGACATGCATATATAACTTACATTAGATCCATCAGAATCTATTGATTTATAAAGGTCAATATTGAAATCAGTTTTACTTCCGTTCTGTTCATCTAAAAAGTTACATGCCACTGAAAAAGTGTTGTTAAATAGTTACATTGGTGTTGTGTTTTTTGCAGAAAATGTCACTGGAAAGGCAAACTTCACTTCTGCACTGTGAACATACCACAATGCAGGAACTCACCTTCAAAATGCCATGCTGGGCATTACTTAAGGATTTTGATGAACTTTTACCCTTTGATGGCTTGTGCCCCCTGCATCATGATAAACTGACATAGTGTTTATCACACACCTTTAGATTTTTAACATTTTTCCATATCACCTGTGAAGTCATGAGGGTGACATTTAATTTCATACTGCCCAATATGCTGTCATATTTACGAGTTCCTACATGTACTTCATTTTTGCACCCCCTTAGGCAAGATTCAGCACCTCCAGTTAAATGCCCATTGATTATGACCACCCCTGTTACTTCCTTAAATGGCACAAAGTCATGCAAAGGCTTACCACAGCTTGATAGCCTGTATAAATCACTTGTTAACTTAAATTTGGAATTAATTTGCGATCTCAAATTTGAGATAGTCACATGTGGTGCAAAGCTTGAACAATGTGACTTTCCTGATATATCTACAACTAAAATAGATGCCACCAATCTTGTCGACTTAAACACCATACTGAAGAGNATGTTGTGTTTTTTGCAGAAAATGTCACTGGAAAGGCAAACTTCACTTCTGCACTGTGAACATACCACAATGCACGAACTCACCTTCAAAATGCCCTGCAGGGTATTACTTCAGGATTTTGATGAACTTTTACCCTTTAACGGCTTGTGCCCCCTGCATGATAAACTGGCGTAGTCTTTATCACACACCTTTAGATTTTTAACATTTTTCCATATCACCTGTGAAGTCACGAGGGTGACATTTAATTTCATACTGCCCAATCATGCTGTCATATTTATGAGTTCCTACATGTACTTCATTTTTACACCCCCTTAGGCAAGATTCAACACCTCTGGTTAAATTCCCACTGATTATGACCACCCCTGTTACTTCCTTAAATGGCACAAAGTCATGCAAAGGCTTACCACAGCTTGATAGCCAGTATAAATCACTTGTTAACTTAAATTTGGAATTAATTTGTGATCTCAAATTTGAGATAATCACATGTGGTGCAAAGCTTGAACAATGTTACTTTCCTGATATATCTACAACTAAAATAGATGCCACCAATCTTGTCGACTTAAACACCATACTGAAGAGAAAGCCTGGATGGTGAAATTCAACCATTTTCACACAAGGATAACTGAACAATATACCAATAAAGATGTACAAAACCAGGCAAAGTAGGGGAATTTCTGCAGAATGTCTGGAGCTAGC